GAGGTCCAGAGAAAATATAGGAATTGTTCTTTAATTTATTCCCACCCCTACTTCTCAAGCATCATGGGAAAAGCACTAGCCCAATCAGTCATTTCTATGTGTAAACATTATTGTTATACTTAAGAATTGTCTCAGGTTTGCAGAGTTGTCCTAATCAGGAAAATCAAGGTGAACACTGCATATAATCCTGGCCTGTCTTAGTGAAGAATGGATATTATCTAATACTAAAAATATCTTTATAGCTATGGAGAACCTGTTTTAGAAAGGATGACTACTATTTGATAATCAAAAGGAGTGGGTGAGTCATTCTTACCCATAATTTAAAACCTAATTCAAATGCCACCTACCTCCAAAGCCTTTCCTAAACTTTGTAAATAGTTGTGACCACTTTCCTCTCCAAACTCTATAGCCTTTGGATATCTCAGGATAGTCATACGTATGTTTTAAGTTGTAGCTAATGGTGCCTTAATGAGGATAGGTTTCATTTCTGCTTTGTTTCCACTTTATCAGTCGTGGCTAGCACAGATTTTGCTTATAGTAAATGTTGCACTTAATTAACGTTGTAGTGAATGAACAGATCCACCATAGCACCCTGAGAGACTACAGCAAGCTTTAGTGAACAGTTTTTGAACTAAGAATTTGTAGCTATAGGCAAATATTTTAACTACTCTGAGCCTTACCAGTCAAATGGGAATATGAATAATAGGAAACAAAGAATTGGTGAAAAAAACTTTGTAAAAGGAACACAACTCTAAGGTGATACCACCTCTGAAGCCCATTACTGCACCCAGCACAGTGCTTTACAATGTAGTAAGCAAACAAATACTATTTTTGTAATTGAATTTAATAGTAATGTGATAGATTTTATTAAAGTAGAAAGAATTTTGGCCCTAGCAGTTGACAAACATTTGTTGGAACTGGAAGACTTTACCAAGGGAAGATAAAATTATCTCCTTTGTGCAGACTGTCTCTCCTACCCTAGTTTCATTATTGAACCAAAGAATCGGGAAAAGAAGCAGCAGCCTGCTGCCCAGGGGTTTTCTTGATGCTTCCTCCTGGGCAGCACATGGTGAACCTGGGAGGCAGAGCAGGAACTTGCTAACCTCTGTTTTCCTTCTAGTAGCTACCATGCAAGGGATAAAAAAAGGAACTACTGATAAAGGTAGGTGGGTGGGGACGATCCTGGCTTCAGGAGGATTGCCCCCAGGCGAGTCAGGGGTGCTTTGCATTCTGTCTACCTAGCTACTTCTGGGGCATCAGCAACTTAATCTTTTCTTAGTGTGATGGAAGGAAACGAGCAAACCAGAACCAAAAATAAAGAAATTACCTTGGAAGGCATCCCTAAAAATACATTTAAAAGAGTGAACATATAAGTAGAAGAGTGTTTCCAAGGCAGAGGGTGCTCTGACTTGGACCTCCTGGGTTTGGGGTGTGACAATGGCCATAGATTTGGGTTTGAGCATGTTTACTATAAATAAAGCCATTTCCCTGGAGCCTGGCAAGTTTTGCAGAAGACATGCCAAAATGTAATTGAAATGTGACTGCCTCTTAAATTGTGAAATTAATTTTACACTTGACAAATCTTTTAAAAATGAAGAACAAGTGGCTTTAAAGTTCAGGGTGTTAATATTTGAAATCTGTCCAATTTAATTAGCTGGATCCCAGAGATTGTTTCCTTTTTCTCTGGTGAGTGGCACTGATCTAACACCCAATTCTCTTCTTGGTTGTGAGATAGGAATTAAATGTATCATTTATTTAGTTGTATTGACCTGAATTATATCTCCCTAGCATACATTCTTATTTCAGGAAATAGGATCCATCCATGTGGAATTTACTCAGGAACTCTTCTTAGTGACATTTGTGTGATCTAATTCGAGGACCTGAAGTGAAGGCTCCACATGATTTACTTGCATATGATGCAGCTATTTTTAATTCTGCATTTACATTTTAAAAAACAAGAATGCACCTTCTTGATGGAACAGACATGCATTTTTAGACTCACAGACTCAAGAACTGTAGAACAAAGAAGTTTCTTAGGAATTGATTTCAAACATCTTTTTTATATTGGAGAGAAAAAACCTTGGGTCCAAAAAGATTTAGTGGCCTTGAACTAAAGGTTACAGGGTCAGATAGCGATAGAATAATACAAGAAATTAGATGAGTTCCCTAGTCAAGGCTCTTGTTTGTCACAGATTTAAAAATATGTGAGATTTACATTGACAATTTATCATGATGTGTAGCTTTTTAAGATAGTAGTAGATAACTTAGCTACTTAAAACCTCTAATTTCTACATTAGCATATTACTGTATATTAGTATCCCTGTAGCTACCTAACCTTATCTTTCCTTTCATTTGTATACTTCTTTTTAATCTTGTGTGCAAGCCACCTTAAATCTTTCTTTGATTGATTTAGTATATAAATAAAATACTCAAAGTGATATTTTGTGTTAATACTAATTATGTTTCCATAGTGTCTGTGGCATGTCAGAAAACCTGGCGATGTTAATTGTTCTAGCAGTATTTCACCTTTTTCCGTCTATCAGAGCTAGCAGTAGAAATAAAATTCCTAAGTAGAATGCTTTTAAAAATTACCGTTCTTTTATTCAGAATCCCCATAAAATCTTGAAATTGTTTTTATTAAGCCTGAAAAATGACTTAGGAGTGTATTTAGTATAGTAAAATGAAAGACTGGCTGATAGTATTGAAATACAACCTAGGTATTTAAAAGAACATTATGACTTATGGTCATCCAGTTTTCAACAAGAGTGCCAAAGCCATCCAGTGGGAAAAGAATAGCTTTTCAACAAATGGTGCCAGGACAATTGGATAGCCACATGAAAAAGAATGAATCTGGACCCCTACCTCACACCATATACAAATCAATTCAGTATGGACCAAAGATCTAAATGTAAGCACTAAAATTATAAAAATCTTAAAAGGAAACATTGGTGAAAATCTGTGTGACCTTGGATTAGGCAAAGATTTCTTAGATGTGGCATGAAAAGCACAAGGAACAAAAGAAAAACAGGTAAATCAAACATTAAAATTTAAAACTCTGTGTGTCAAGAATACTATCAAGGAAATGAGAAAGTCTACAGAATGGGAGAAAATATTTGCAAATTTTATATTTATCTGACAAGTGTCTAGTTTCTATAATGTATAAAGAACTTGTACAACTCAACATTACAAAGAAATAACCCAATTAAAAAATGGGCAAAGGACTTGACTAAACAGTTCTGCAAAGAAGATATACAAGTGACCCATTAGTAAACACTGGAAAGATGCTTAGCATCATTAGGGAATTGCAAATCAAATTTGCAATTTGAGGAGCCACTTCACACCCACTAGGATACCTGTAATTTAAAAATGGACAATAAATGTTAGTGAAGATGGGAAGAAATTGGAACTCTTGTACATTGCTAGTAGAAATATAAAAATAGTACAGCTTCTTTGGAAACAGTTTTGGCAGTTCCTTAAAAAGTTAAATAGAATTATCATCTGACCCAGCAATTCTACCCCTAGGTATATATCCAAGAGAATTAAAAACATATGTTTACACAAATAGGTATACACAAATAATGGCTTTATTCAAAATAACCAAGAAGTAGAAACAATGAAAATATCCATATACTGAGGACTGAATAAATGAATTGGTGTATCCGTAGTGGAATATTATTCAGGTATGAAAAGTAATGAAGCACTGTGACATGCAACAACATGGGTAAACCTTGGAAATTTTTATGCTGCATTAAAAAAACCCAGACACAAAGGCCATTGTATGATTCCATTTATATGAAATGTTCAAAATGGGCAAATCCATTGCATTAGAAAGCCGATTAGTGGTTGCCAAGGGATGGGGGCAGGAGAGGGGAATTGGGACTAACTGCTAATAGGTACAGGGTTTCTTTATGTGGTGGTAAAAATGTTACGGGATCAGGTAATGGTGATGGTGCACAATATAGTGAATATACTAAAAACCACACAGGTATATACTTTAAAATGGTGAATTTTATGTCGTTATGAATTGTATCTTAATGTAAAATACTAAAAATTTTTTAAAAGCGCCATGTACCCAGAAATAAGGCAACAAACATTATGAAAGACTAGAGACTGAGATTCATGAAGGATTTTCAATCACAAAGACAGTAAATAATTTGGTACCCTCAAAACCCCTGTTGAGTGATAGGAAACTTTGTCCTGTGGCTTTCAGGGCATTAAGAGAAAGGTCCTGTGGTGTGGTTTTTGCAGCTGAACAAGAGGAATCAGAGTCATTAGATGGCCCTCTGCTCAGAGGCAAGGAATGTAGTTAGAGATGTTATGCAAATTGAGATGATAAAACCATATTACTTCAACTAAGTAAATCACATGGAGTTCAGAAACAGGGAGGTTGAAAAACTAATAGGAAGTAGGGCTAGGACTTGAAGGGATGTGATATTTCCTTTTTTAATACACAGTTTAACAGCAATTCTCCTTAGATTTTGTGCTAAAATAAGAGCATTTTTGCACATCTTAATTGCTCCGCTATAACAGCAGTATGAACTCCGTCCACAAACATGTATTATCTATTTAATTTTGTTCTAATTTCAGTATATCAAGAATTAATCTTGTAAGTGGGAGTAACTGTTTAGTAAAAAGAAATCCTGAAATCCCTTCCCACATCACAAATTGTGTTGTGCATTTTTATAATGTAGTATTAATAACAAGTGGTCTTTATGTTTCTCCATTTTTAAATTGTACTTATAGTTACTATTTTCAAAGTATCTATGAACTAGAACCCCACTTGCTCCTTAAACAGTAAAGAATATTAAAAAATTGTAGAAGTTAAGATTTTACAGGATTTCTTATTATGATTGTAGGTGAGACTTAATGCCTTTATAAACCTTTATAGTACTTAGTGCTATGATGTTTGTGATAAACCATATAGAACTGTCTTTAAGATGCATTTTAAAAATGAGGTTTATATAATTTAATAGCTATAAATTGTTCTGATTATTTTCCAGACGTGTCATTTACTCCATCCATTATAGTGATGCTACAGGACGGAGAGGAATGGATAAAAACATTGGTGAACAACTCAATAAAGCTTATGAAGCCTTTCGACAGGCATGCATGGATAGAGATTCTGCAGTAAAGGAACTACAGCTAAAGGTTTGTGGTTTTGCTTTTGGAAGTTATTTATCCTGGTAAATGGAATTTGAGTCTTTTGCAACTGGAAAAAAAGATTATGTTGTTAGAAACTGTCTTGAAGAACTATAATGACTGGAATGGAGATATATTAATGAATAAAATTCGAGGTTTTTATTTGTCTTTTTAAAAAACATTGCGACTTGTGGGAAGAGTTTATTTTAAGGTGATTGTGTTGAGGAAAGATGACAAATGTTATCTTTCATAAATAATTTTTAAATAAAACGACACCGAAAGTTAGAAGTATCAATGTCTCAGCTAGTTTTGTTTTTGAGTTTTTTTTTTTTACATGGTTTTTTGGTTGGTAGGAAGATGGTACAAATTTTAAGGCATCTAGAACTAAACTTATTATTAATTTATAATACTCTCATTCTTTAACTAAACAGTTAAAAATTGACTATTCCAGTGAAATCTTTAATGACTTAACCAGAAGTTTCAGCTTTTTAAAATTATCCCTGTACAGTGTCATAAGGTGATCCTATGGTTCCAAAAAGAATAAGACAGCATTACGAGAAAAGAATCTACGAAGGTATATTAGGACACTGTCATGATCGATATGACTAAGTAGCTTGTATTGTATTTTTACTTAACTAAAATTTACTGAAAGATTAATATATGCTTTAGAAAAGTCTTCCCTACAGTGGGCTAGAAGATAGATAGGATAGAGAAAAATGTGGAATTCACCTCAACAGACATATTTTGATGCTAAGCAATGTTCTAAGAACCAGGAATATAAAAATAAGTGGCAACCATCAAATTGCACTATATATAATTACATATAAATACCTAATTTATGTGTATTTATATGTAATTAAATATAATTTACATTATATTTACATATAATTACATGTAAATATTATACAAATATTAAATATATGTACATATGTTATACTAATATTTTTTAAAGAAAAAATGAATGGCAATCATTTCAAATAATCAAAATGACTTAAGTACTAGGGATGAATTGGAGAAGAGATCTAAGATTTACTTAGGAGATAGGATGGAAAGTACATGGCAACTGAATACAGGCCACTTCCGAGAAGACGACATAGATTCTAGGATGATACCCAAGTATCTGGAATTAATGGTGGTGCTGATGACTGAAACCAAGAATGAAGAAGTTGCAGTTTGGGGGATAAGAAAAGAAGATGTATAATTAGATATAGCTACCTGTGGGGCATGCAGGTGAAAATGTCCAATGGATGTTTATAGATATGGATCTAGAAGCCTATGTAGAGTTCTTAATTAGATTGTAGGTACAGATGATGGAACAACAGATTTTATTATAGCCATGAATGTGGATAACATTTCTGAGTTAGAGGGTATAGGGTGAAGAAATAGTTGAAGTACAAAAGGGTAAGAGGAAGGAAATAAGGCCAACCAGTTGGTCACTGGAAATTCAGAAATAGGTTAAAGAATTTACTGTGAACAGAAGGAGAAACACCTATTTCTCTGAGGACTGGAGGGAACAAGAGGGAAACAGCTGCATATGAAGATAAGTGTGCATGTAGAAGATGGTGGTGGCCAGGAGTTAGAAGGGTTATCATGTATCACTTATATGTAAAATCGAAAAAAGTCAGACCTGTAAAAAACAGTTAGATGGTGGTAACCAGGGAGATGGGGGTGGGAATAAGATTGTTGGTGTTTAAGTGTTCAAGCAAGTAAATAAGCCTTAAAGATTTTAATGCATAGTACAATGACTATAAATAATATTGTATTATAATTATGTAATGTGACAAATATCACTACAATAAATAATATTACAATAAATGTATCAAAGTAACAACACAATGTTATATGTCAGATTTATTCAATAAGTTCATCTGAGCCTTCAGTGAGTCATAATCTTTTTGCTGGTGGAGGGTCTTGCCTCAGTGTTGATGAAAATGCAGTATCTATGAAGCTCAGTAAAGTGAAGTGAAGTAAAATAAGATATGCCTGTACTATGATAAAATAAGAGTTCTGACATTGAGTTTTATACTTTGATCTCATTCATTATACTTTTTAAATTAATTTTTTTCTAAAACTTTTTCTGAGAAGATATTTGTACTTGTGACATTAGGATTTTATTTTATGGAACATTTATCGTTTTTGAAATTACAGAATCACATGTACTAAATATAAATCACTAATTGTCCGCATATATCTACTCGCAGAAATAAGATCGAACATTGGAGTAAAACAAGCTAGGTATTCCTCACTGAGAATCTTTAGTAATAAGATGATATATACAACTTCTCAAACTTCTATCTTCTAATATGAAGATAAGAGCAAAGGCTCTGAAGTCAGACCTGAATTTTTAAATACCGTTCCTACCATTTACAAACTTTTCTGCCTAGATGACTGGAAGATTGATGATGCAGCCACAGAAATAGAGAACTCTGATTTTGCTAAAGGAAATTATTATTTGATGATCAGGCAGTTGAAGTATGGATCTTTGGGATAAGGTACCAGTTTAAAGACAGATTTGGGAGTTGTCTGTAGAAATGATACTTGAGGTAATAGGAGGAGGTACCAGGGGGAAAGGGAATAAAGCAGGAGATGAAGAGAAGCAAGAGGACAACCTTGGTGAAGTGGCCTGTCATTCTGATGACCAAAAAGCCCCAAGGGATATTTTCTGTGAGTAAGTATAGCTGCCTAACATTGTACTTAAAGAATTGGTCTATCAAGTGACGTCAGCAAGATTGCAAACTAGGAAGTTCTAGGCCCTCATTATTCCACAAAAATGCCAAACTACAGACTGTCTGAAATAACTTTATGTGACCTCTAGCAATCAGTCAGTGATCTAAAGCAACAAAAGGAACAGGCAGTCAAGAAAAAAACACATTCAAAACAAAATTTCATGGCATTTCTATTTGCCCATGACTGACCCAGATTAGCAGAATGGATCAGCAGAGTAGAATAAAAAATAAAAATCAGGATCCCACCATATGCGGTCTACAAGACTCATTTTAGATTTGAGGACATTCATAGATTGAAAACGAAAGAATGGAAAACGATTCAATGCCAATAGTAACTAAAACATTAAAAATGGCTATACTAACATCAGACAAAACAGACTTTATGTCAAAAGTGATTACAAAAGATAAAGAGGGACATTATATAATGATAAAAGGATCAATTCATCAAGAAGATATAACAGTTATAAACCTATATACACCAAACATCAAAGTTCGAAAATACATGAATCAAACAAATGGCAGTATTAAAAGAAGAAATAGATTGCTCTACGATAACAATAGGAAACTTTAATATTCCACTTTCTGCACTTTTATTAATGAATAGAACAACCAGAGAGAAAAGTAATAAGGAAATAGAGGACTTGAATAACATTATAGGGCAGTTGGAACTAGCAGACACATAATACTCTACCCAACAACAGCAGAATTCATGTTTTTCTCGAGTTTACCTGGAACATTCTCCAAGATACGCTATATATTAGGCCATTAAAAGTGACTCAAATTTGAAAAGATTGAAATCATGCAAAATATCATTTTTAATCACGAGGGATAAAACAAGAAATAAACAGCAGAAGGAAAATGGGAAAATTCACAGATATGTGGGAAAAAAACAGTGGGTCAAAGAAGAAATCACAAGGAAAATTAGAAAATATCTTAGAGACAATGGAAAATGAAAGCACAGCATACCAAAATTATGGGAACCTGGGAAAGCAATGCTAAGAGGGAGATTTTTAGCTATAAATGTTTACAATAAAAAGAAGATCTCAAATCAAAAACCAGCATTACTGCTTAAGGAACTAGAAAAAGAAGAACAAACCAAACCCAAAGTTAACAGAAAGAAGAAAATATTAAAGATTGGAGCAATGATAAACAAAATAGAGAAAACTAATAACGTCAAGAAAACCAAGAGTTGGTTCTCCAAAGAGGCCAGAAAAATTGACAAACCTTTAGCTAAATTGACTAATAGGGGAGAGGGAAAAGCCTGAGGTAACTGAAATCTGCAATGACAGAGGGGACATTACTACCAATATAGCAGAAATAAAGAATTATGAAAGTACTATAAACAATTGCATACCATCAAATTGGATAATCTTGATAAAATGGACAGATTCCCAGAAACAACCTACCAAGGCTGAATCATGTAGAAATAGAAAATTTGAATAGACCTATACCTAGTAAAGAGATTAAAATTTGAATAGACCTATACCTAGTAAAGAGATTAAAACAGATTTAAAAAGTTCCCAACAAAGAAAGCGCAGAACTATGTGGCTTCACTAGTGAATTCTACAGAACATTCAAGTAAAAATTAACACCAGTCCTTCTCACATTCTTCCCCCGAAATTGATTAGGATAGAACACTTCCTAACTCATTCTATGAATCCAGTATTACCCTGATACCAAGGCCAGACAAAGACACTACAAGAAAACTACAGACTAATATCCCCTACAAATATTGATATATAAATGCTGAACAAAATACTAGCAAACCTATTTCAGCAGCATATTACAAACATTACACACCTTGACCAAGATAGATTTATTCCTGCAATGCAAGGAGGATCAATGTAGAAAATCAGTCAATGTAATACCACTTTAACAGAATGAAGTGGGGAAGAACCACATGATCATCTCAATAGATGCAGAAGAAGCATTTGATAAAATTAGCATCTTTTACAATAAAAGCACTCCACAAACTAGGAGTACAAGAAAACAATTTCAACATAATAAAGGCCTTATATGGAAGATCCATAGGTAACATAATACTCCATGGTGAAAGACTGAAAGTTTTTCATCTAAGATCAGGAACAAAATTGAGATGCCCGTTTTCACCACTTCTACTCAACATTGTACTGGAACACCTACCCAAAGCAATTAGGCAAGAAAAATGATAAACAGATTGGAAAAGAAGAAAATTATCTGTTTGCAGATGAACTGAACTTATATGTAGAAACCCCTAAAAATTCCACCAAAAAAATTGTTAGAACTAATAAATTCAGCAGAGTC